CAAATAAGAGATCTCCTCTATCCGTTAATGAGGAATTGAAAAGCTCCTCTGTTTTTCAATAAGAACGTAGACAGCTCTTCCATTTGCCAACAAGGAATAACAGACCTCCTCCATCATCCCCATAGAATAAAAAAGCTCCTCTATGTGTTAATGGGGGACAAAAGAGCCCCCTCTCTGTGTTAATAAAGAATAAGGGAGCTCGTGTCTCCATTAACAAGGAATAGGAGAGCTCGTGTAGTTCTTCTCCAATAAAACAGAGTTTTTCTATGTGAAAAGAATACTCATCTATTTTCTCATAAAGAATTAGAGGGCTCCTCTAACCGTTAATAAGGAATAGGACAGCTCCTTTATGTTGTAATGAAGAATAGGAGAGCTCCTCCATTTTCTCATGAAGAATACGAAAGCTCTCCTATTTGTTAATGAGGAACAGAGATCTGCTTTGTCCTTTAAAAATATAAGAGAGGTGTGGTTATAAGTAATCAAGTCTAGTTGGATGTGGAATGTTTATGTGGCCTTCTATGAAGGTAGAAAAGATTATACAAATTCTTCAGTATGTCTACAAAACCCCACAAAACTGAGGCCACAAGAGCGTTCCACTCTCCAGAAAGAATCCTACTTAGGGGACTTATAACCCCACTTGTAACTACCCATGAACCGCCAAGTCGAGTTATTGCAAGAGGCTGCACCACCATAATTCTGCTCGAAATCCCAGGCAAATCACCCACCGACGCAGAGCAAAGCGTCAGAAACCCTTTTCCCTCGATCCTCTAAAGCCTACAACCCCAAACCGTAACAGAACCCAAGACCCTTAGGGTTTGGGGGTTGGGGTTTAGGGGTTTAGGGGTTTGGGGTTTCGGGTTTAGGGGTTTAGGTTTTAGGGCTTAGGGTTTCGGGTTTAGGTGTTTAGGAACTAGGGTTCTGAAACAATGCCAGGGCGTCGGGACTGAGCCTTTTGTCCGCTGGATGGTGGTTCGTCTCGTTTGTCTCGCTCGTCTCATGGCACGGCGTGTCCAGCTTGTTGGTCTTTACCACCTGCTGGCACTTACTTTAATGTAGGGGCCTTAATAATTAGAATAAAGCTTCGGGGTATACTATACTATAATTTTAATAGGGAGCCTCAAAATAGTATGGGTAAGTTTTTAGGCCCCTATATTCGGGTGAACCTGGACTAGGCTTTCTTTCCTGTCTGTCACAGCTTGTTTGAGGCCTTCGGCTGGGCCTTAGGTGCAAAAAAGACTTCGAGATGCTTCGAGTGTGTTAGCAAGCTTTGGCTTAGGGTTAGGGTTTAGGGTGTAGCGTTTAGGGTTTAATCTCAAGAGTACAAGGGTCTAAAGTAGAAGCAGAAATATGGACATGTGGCATCTGCGCCCGACCAAAAAAAAGGCGCGCCGCAAATAATACCATCCTATAACCGACTGCTTCGGCGAGAACAAGCAAACCCCCTTAAGCCCTAATCCCTGAACCCCCAAACGGCCCTAAACCCCAAGCACTGAATCCTGGAACGAAAAGCCTTCTCCTGGGACCAAGGCTAATACGTAGGGCTGCTGGGAGGGTCCTGCCGCAGCCTGTTTAGTGGTCCTTGCAAGGGCTGTATCGATATAGGGTTTAGGGTTATCTGTTTTAGGAGTCCTTGCAAGGGCTTTACGAGGGCTTGCTGGGCTGAACAACTGGGGTCAGGATATCGAGTTGTCAGATGCTTCTCATCCTAAACCCGTAAGCGCGACGCCAAAGCTCATTACACCAGGGCTTGGGGAGGGTGCGCCACTCGAACTACAAATATTCTTGACATATCGGGATTATACTAGGGCTTGCAACGACAGCAAAGGAGAGGTTCTAATGTAGGGGCTTTTGAAATAAGAACAGGGAATGGTGTATACTGTACTAGAATACATACGGACTGTAAGGAAACAGTACTTCTAGTAATTCAGGCGCTATAGCGGTGAAAACGGTAAACTTAAACCCCAAGCCTAGATGCTAAACCCTCTGGACAGCTCTCTAAATTGGGGTCCCTTGTAAGGTCCTTTCTATAAGGGTGTCGTACTATTTTGGGACCTACAAGATGACTCTAATTCAGTGAACTACCCCTATAGTAGGAATATGTGGCTGAGGACTTCGGGCAGGAGGGTCGGTTAGGAGGGTCTCTGTAACTCTCCCTTACAGTGGTGTAAAAGAAACCTCATTCTAGGATCCCCCCCAAAAAAGGGGGATGTATAAACAACCACCACTAGCCCTTAAATACCCTCAAATTATGGTAACCCTTCTAAACCCTTTTAAAGTCCCCCTCTTGCCGTACGCGTTGAACCGCCTGAATAGCACCAAGGAAGCCATTGCGGTGTGCGAAGGCCACGACCATCCCCACAGCAACCATGATCAGGAACGTGCCAGTCAAGACAAGCAAGATGGTCCTGGCGTTGCCCTAAACCCTAAAGCCCAAGCCCTCAAGCCTAAACCTTAAAGCCCAAGCCCTAAAGCCTAAACCCGAAGCCCCAAACCCCAGACCCTAAACAACTCTTGGTGGAGCTCTGAAAGCAACTCTCGAGCTATCCTTGGACTCCAATGTAGGGGCCGAAACATTACCTAATTATTCAGGCCCCTTTTTGGGTAGTGTTCTAAATAAGGGTCCCTGTTTAGGTCCTACGGCACCTTTACAAAAAGGACCCTAGAATGGGGACCCGAAAATAATTAGAGAACTATCCATAGTGCGTGCGCAGCCGAGGGTATTGAACCTCGCCGCAATGCGCCTCAAGCAGCCTCTCAAAGCAGAAGCCTTAAGCCGACTACCGCATCCCTGAATCCCAAACCTTACCCAGAGAGCCCAATACACCTCAATTCAGGAATTTACATTAAACCCCTAAACTCTAAACCCTAAACCCTAAAACACAGTATGAAGCGACGTCTAGTCCGAGGTATACTGCTCCATTAAGGGGTACCGGGCTCCTTGGGTAAATCCCCAAAGCCCAAAGCCTCCAAAGCCCAAAGACACCTTAAAGCCCTCGAACAGTAAGGTCCGACGACCGGAAAACGCCAAAGACATACCACCTACTGGGAGCTTCGGGGTTTAGGGTTTAGGGTTTAGGGGTTTCGGGTTTAGGGTTTCGGGTTTAGGGCTTAGGGTTTAGGGTTCAGGGACTAGTTTATAGAGTTATAAGCATCAGAACCCCAAGTAGGATCCCTCTTAAGGTACTTATCAAGCCCTAAAGCCCTAAACCCTAAACCCTAAACCCTAAACCCTAAACCCTAAAACCCTAAACCCTAAACCCTAAACCCTACTTATAACCCACTTCCTAAGTCCCCCGACCCTCCAAGTAAACCTTCGAGCCCCTAGGCCCCTAAACGCCTAAATCACTACAGGGGTCTTAATAAGAGGAATAGGGTTTAGGGTTTAGGGTTTAGGGTTTAGGGTTTAGGGAATAGGGTTCCTTTAAAGGGATTCCTAAAAGGGTTACTATAAGGGGTTCTATAAGAAGGGGCCTTAGTAATTAGAGTAGGGTTTTGGGGGGGTATCTTATACGATAATTATAACTATCATAAAGAACCCCCAAAATAGTGTAGGTAAGTATTTAGGCTCCTAAACATTTAGGGTTTTTAGGGGTTCGGCTCTCACACTCGGACCAAATGGTCTTAAATCGGCTTAGGGTCCAGCGTTTGAGGTTTAGGGTCTCCCCCACCCACCCACCCTAAACCCTAAAACCTAAATCCTAAACCCTAAACCCTAAACCCTAAACCCACCCACCCTAAACCCTAAACCCTAAACCCTAAACCCCAAACCCTAAACCCTAAACCCACCCACCCTAAAGCCCCAAGGCCCTACTCCCCAAACCCTGCCTAACACCCCAAAGCCTTTCGCCTAAACCCTAGGGTTTAGGGTTTTGGGTTTAAGACCCCGAAGCCCAAGTCCCAAAACCCTAGAACCTTCGCACCGACCCCTGCTAAACTGGGTTCTTGTTCAGGGATTTATTCAAGCTACCACAATAGGGATATATATATATATATGTATATATATATATAGAAAATACTAGGGTTTCTTTATTATGGTAACTGAAATGATTAAATCCCTTAATAACAAGAGCCCAGGAAGCCCTAAACGCTACGGCAGATCCAAGGCTCTGCCAGTCCGTGTAGGGCGGTGGCTCAGTCGGAGGAGGTGGCTCTGTGGTCCTTACAACCCATTTTTTGTGTGTATGCATATTTTTGTATTCGTATGCCCACTACTTTCTCTGACTACTGTTATTGTTATTACCGTGCTGTTTTATTATTCATTACTACTGTTGTGAATATGCTTATGACTATGATTATGACTATGATGATGATGTTTATGCCCCCATAGCTTGATTTAAAATGTGCAGAGGTCGGGAGTCTCCGGGTGTCCCGGAACCCAGACTGCCGGGAGGATCTGTAGAAAGCAGATGCCTCTATTTCTCGGACCCTATACTGCTAACGGATACTTTACAGGTTTAGGGTTTAGGGTTAGCCCCTTTTGGGGGTCTACTTTTTTGGATCCTCCCAGGTTGCCATGAAAGGTCTACGCTCCGAAAAAAGGTTATAATGATTCAGAAATAAAAGAGAAATGGGCTTCTGAAGCAGTCGTAATGTAGGAACCTGGTTTAAAGAACCCCGGGTTATAACCCGGCAAAATCTTAGAATCCGTATAAAGGAACTTCAGCATGTTCCTATAGTGCATGGAAGCGTCGTCGTGCTGGCACTCTCGTCAAGGTAGTCATGGTCCGGACCTCCTTGCGCATACGGCTCGCTGCGACCTTCATTCAGCTCGCCGACGGGCGCTTCCTTGGGTTTTTGCTGCTTTTGAGGTTTAGGCTTTAGGGTTCAGGTTTTAGGGTTTTCCACGGGCTTGGCGCTAAGCCCCAAACCCGCAGCCCCGAACTAAAAAGTCCCAACGAATACAGCACCTGAGACACCTCGTCACTCGCCGTGCCCGTTGAGTTGACATTGCGACTTTTTGCCAAGGGTTGAGGCTTCAGGGTTTAAAGGAGCCAAGTCTCTTCCACAGGGTCGGACCATATTCCCTCAGTGTCTGGTGGCGGCGTGATCAGGAGTTCACCACCGGTTGCGGTACCAGGTGTGGTCGTCGTGCCATTCCTGTGCTGCGATTCAGGGTTCCCCTCCCAACCGCTACCTAGCTACAGCAGGCTCCAAGAACCTTAGCCACACAACGCGTGCAACCAAGTGTTTCTCATTTCTGGTCCTTGCAACATCTTACAACTGCCGTACCCACGAACCTTGTCGGGCATTTGGACAGTGGCTCTGCCATGAGAACCCGGCCCAACGACGAAAAGGCAGTACTCAGGAAAACCAAGAATCAGGGAAAGCCCTAGCCGGTCTATCTGCTCTTGGGTGAGGCAGGCACACAGACAGCTCGCAGTGGCAAAATTCTGACCACCTTCACAGTAGAAAGCGCATGTCCATGGGAAAGCTTTTCCTTCGTTGCTCATCCGAAGATGCTTGGGCGAGCTGAACAATTGCGTTAACATACAGAGGAAAGGCCAGTTCCGAGCATTGTAGAACCAGAAAATAGTCCCATACTGAAAAGCTTCCTCCGGTCACATCGATGTAACCTTGGCGGCAATTTGGGACCACAGTTGCCGTCGCTTCCGGCACCTGAGGCTGCTCCGGAAAGAATTAAACCTCGTGGCATAGAGCGCATGCTTTAGGACGTCCTGTTTAAGGGTTTAGGGTTCAGGGTTTATGCGTTGACAAAAAACTGACCGACCGATCAGGAGCAAAGCTTGCTCATAAGCAGCCAACCCAAACGGGAAGACCCTTCAGCCGCCTTAACATGCCACAGCTGACTTTTCTGCGGGGCCTTAAGAAGGACCCAGAAAACAAATGGGTGTTGGTGCTCATACTAAAGCCTTTCCAAAAAGCCTCACGCCACCCCCTGTTCACCAGACTCACCACTCTCAGGACACTATGCGCTAAACCCCAATTCCTAGTCAGGCATTTCCAGACTCCTCGCTCCCGGGAAAACAGAAAATCGTTACCCCAGCCGATCGCTCAAGAAATTCAATCAGTACATTATACCCCCCCAAACCCCAATTCTAGCTAGTCAGGCCGTATGCTTTTGGTGTGGGGTTTACTGCTTTGGCAACCCTGAACCCTAAACCCTCTCAGCCCAAAGGATCTCCAAGCCCCACGTGCCACCTCCGTTGTCGATGAGTTGGCCGACTGCAGCTGCCTCTGCCCGGCTCCTTCGTTAGGGCTTGCTTACAGCTAGGGCTAGCTTACAGCCTCCAACATAGCTCCAACTTCTTAAGCAGCTTTCTGGCTAGGATCCTACATTGAACCCTCAACCCTATACAAAAAACAGCCCCAAACCCGCATTGTTCTTACACCTGGGCTATCCCTTTGCCAGGAACCCTAGGGCCCTAAACGCTAAGGTCAAGGTTTGCAAGACTGGACATCCTGAGCTGTCTGGGAGTTTCAGATTATACCTTATTTTGGTGTCCTTATAATAAGGATCCTATTATTTTGGGTATTATATTAGGGTCCCCCATTTTTGGAAATCCCCAAATAATTACCTATAGTAAACCCCAGGGCCCGAATCGCCTACCAGCTGGCGGTAGGAAAATCGAGAAGCCCCAGGACGCTAAGCGTCCGTCGAGCGCCATACCCGCGCCACGTTCGCCGTGCTGGCACCGACGTCTGAGGACTCGGAGGTCTCGTGCAAGACAGACCATTGCCAAGGGCTACAAGCCCTCTCCTGGACAACTTTGGAATCTGCTGTGGCACCACAGCACCTCCTACGAGTTGCGGACACGGCTACAGGCCCGGATGGGCAAAGAACAAAGGCCATGGCGCAGTGGGGACAACACAGACAAAGGCAAAGGACAAGGACGTGGCTGGGGCTACTGGCAGGGATCGCGACGATCACCCAAGGCCAAAGCCAAGTCAGCTTCGACCTCCTTTCCGGCTTACGACGCCTACCCCAAGGACGAGAGCGGCATCACGCCGATAGCGGAGCGCAGACTCGATCAGAGTACTGGTGGTGCCTTGACCATGGTCAACATGGTGCAGGCAGCGCTGAACCAAGCGCGGCGGCTGGACAACCGCCAACACAAGCTTCGCAAAGACCTGGAGGAGCGGCACCAATGCTGGAACAGATATGTTGCAGGGCTGAGGCAGAGCTTGCGACAAGAGAGACGACGTTGTCAGGAGGAGTGTCGGAAGATCGAGACGGACATTGCGGATGTGGAGAAGCAGCAAGCCGCGGCACATGTGCAGGTGCAGCAAGCCGCCTTCCCGGGCACCCTTCCGATGGGGAGTACAGGTCCGGTCCCACCAGACGACGAGCTGGACGAGATCATGGGCGCAGAGGACAGCCTGGAACACCCCAGCTCAGGCCCTGCAAGTGCCTTGACGCAGGAGTTACACAGGCTCATGCATCATGTGCAGCAAGTGGCCCGCCCTGGTCAGGCTGGAAGTCTCCCGCAGGAAGTTCCAGCTACGCCGCCGCACAGGCCGACGCAGGCCCAGCCCATGACACCGCCGGCACCCGGACTACATGTCAGTCCTCAGGCCACAAGGGATCCGTATATGTCTTCGCCCAGTATGCCATTAATACGGGAGGTGCCTACTCCCAAAGCGGTGGCTACTACGCCGGTGCCGCCGAATGTGACACCGGCCCAGACGGCCCTTCTGGAAGTGACTGCACAGGGGCAGCGTTCAGCCAGCCGCCAACGTCAAGCAATCCAACGGCAAGGCGTCAAGGAAGCCTCCAAAGTGGCGCCGGTCAGCCCGGGGCCAGGTTCGAATACCTCCCTGGCGGACAAACTGGATCAGAAGAGATACGCAGAATGGGTCGCGGCTATGGAGACGGCTGCACAGCGCGCCAAGGAGGCGCAGGAGATGGCCGAAGCTCTTGCTACAATGGCTCAGCCTGGCATGCAGCCAGCGCCACCGGAGCCTGTGGACAAAGCCACCGGAGGCGCGGTGGCCGCAGACAACGGGAGCAAACCAGCCAGGTTTGCTTTTGTGGACGACGATCTGGACGACGAGGATTTGGAGGAAGATCTTTTCGATGCGGATGGGGATCTACGAGAACCGACCTGAGCAGACAGTATAGTCCCTGCCAAGATTGGGGTGGTCGGTTCTGCCACGATCGTCTGGTGGGACCTCGTCCTCAGAGACCTCTCCCGCTTGGGGAGCAGTGGGAGGTTTCGTGGACGGTGTTTCCCTTCGGACAAGATCGGTGGAACCGGAACCATTTCCATGCTGGGCACCGGACTGTATTTCCTCACTCTGTACAGTTGGGTAGGCTGCTTTCATGGCTCCCTTGCCCGGACCCCTTTGCCCACTTCCTCGCTCCTTCGTCTTCCTCGGTCTCTCTTGTCCTTTTTGGACCAGGGATCGACCTTCGCCTCTTTCTGGATTTGCAGGCTTGCTACCAAGCAGATCATACACTGGCCTCTGGTTTTTACCGGTTTGGCCCTTGCTTCCCTGTGCAATGCGCCTTTGAATTTGGCTGCACTCAGGGGATCACAGCGGACAGTTTTTCGACACACTGCTTGCCGCTGGACATTGTGGAGTTCCCGGCCTCCTGGCCGCTTCGCGGCTTCTCTGAACGGAGTACAGCCGTGTATTCCGCCCCGAGCCTTCGTTCGATGCAGGGATTGCTCATCACCGTGCTGATGGGCTGCTTCTTCTTGAGCGCCCGATTTTGCTGGCATCCTTCGATGCTCGATGAACGAGACACCCTACGAGGCTTCCTCCGGGCGTTAGGTTACAGGTTGATCGGTTTGCTGGGGCGCACCGATTCCATACCTCCGTGGACGGACAGTGTTCCTGCAGTTACCTCCCCCACGGTCCTCGGCTTGCTCATGGGTTTGCAGGCCATACAGCTGAGTCCAGGTTGTGACGTGTTCCTACCGTGGATCGAGGCGCAGGCACAGGCGCTTTACATAGGGATACTGCTGGCCTGTCTTTTTTCCTTGGGTTCCTTGCTCACGCAACCGCTGGGGTGGCATCAGTCCCCGCTTGGCAATTTTTGCAGGATTCCTTGTGTCTTGGTTGGTGCGACACTTGCCTTGCCACTTGCACAGGTGGGCAAGGTTATAAGGCCCTTATCTTTGGGCTGCAAAGCACGCAGGTGCAGACACAGCCCGGGGGCAGACAGCCGGGCGGGCGACCAGGGGGCGAAGCGGGGTTTTCGCCGATATGCGTCACGGACAGCACCACGGCAATCCTCCACCAGCCTTCTCAGGCGGCTCAGCACCCCCGCTGTGCTCTTATCCTTGCTAGGGTGCCCTTCGAGTCCGGTTTTGGTTCGTTCGGCTCCGGTGTTACCCTTCTTTTGGGCCTGTCACTGCATTGGTGTTGAGGCCATGGTTCCCGCACAGGAGGACGAGCTTACAGTCCCAGAGACGGCCAGCTCATCTACAGCAGCCGGCCCCGCGGCGCTGGAGCTTTCGAATGCTCCGCACCCTGCTGACCCCAATCCTGGAGTACGACCTGGTGTTGGTAGAGTCGCTGTTGCGCCGCCACCGGACTCTCTGTCTTACTTGGGTACTTTGGCAGAGGAACCTCCTCATCCTATACTTGGTGTCATGGTGTTTGTGCCGCACTATTGCACCTCGTATATGTCTATCTCCGTTGGGCCAGGCGAAGGTATGCACTCTGTTCTGGAGAGGATCCGGCTCCTACCGACGGTTGCGCCCCGGTCCCTCTTTCCCCTGCAGGCAATAGTTACCCCCCAGCCGTATGCAGATATCGCAGCTGTCGTGGCCTATTCTGAGATTACGCATCTATCGGGCCATGTCGCAGTCGTTATCGATCTCACAGCTGCAGGGGGCAACTTGTTCAGCACGGTTTTGCCTCGAGAGCTTGCGTATACTGACTGGGCGGCTTTTGTTCACCCGCTTCTCAGTGCGGCTCATGACGAGTTTGACCTGTATGTGGGGCGCGCCCAGAGTAGACATCCCTCGGATCAGCCATTAAGGTTGCAGCACGGTTTGCTCCTTACGGTTAATCCCGCTCCCTCCAGGCCCCGACACCCGTTCCCTTTCGAGGACCTCTTTGCGGATGGGGCACGCTGGGAGGACCCGGGCAGTATGCCTAGGCCTGTCAGTGCGCGAGGACTGTGCCTGATGTATCGGGATCGCAGATACTTTTTTCATAGGAGCTTTCATCCGGGTCAATCCCCACGCCAAGCTGCGGCGCATTTTCTGCGTACGGAAGCGGACACCCTCAAGCTTCAGACTGCCCGCAACTCCCGCATACAAGATTTGTGTCTGCACGGCGAAGATTGCATAGGCGTTGTAGCTGCAGCAGACGACGCGGACCCTGCAGTGGAAGCACCTACCGCTCGAACCTCAGGATGTTTCCTCTTTATGGATCTGCGGCCCCTGGGTTTCCGACCATACTTCCAATACCAGAGAGGTAACCGTTGGAGCCTCACTGAAGTCCTGCGGGATATCCCCCTGC